TATATGCCCCTGTAAAACCAGAAAGGGCTTTTCCTTTTATTCCTAGGTTACTCTTGGGTCCAGCCTAAGTAACATAGCCCACTTGTGTTACTCTTGGGTCTAGCTTCTGAAACCTCACACAACTTAGGCATCCTTCAGCTGCAGGTCCGACCCCCCCACCGCTAAGGGGAGAATCCCCAGACTTCAAACCCCTGCGGTCCTACACTGAACCCTGAACCCCATACCCCAACTACGTACCCTAAACCCTAAACCCTATACCCTAAACCCTAAATCCTAAACCCTAAACCCTAAACCCTAAACCCTAAACCCTAAACCCTAAACCCTGAACCCTGAACCCTGAACCCTAAACCCTAAACCCTAAACCCTGAACCTTGCACCCTGAAGTACAAACCTGTCGAACCGCCCTGCCTTCGCTGCTTGGTGTGCTCGAGCCGGGAAGCAGTGAAAGTGCAAACACCCTTGGGCCAGGCGCCCAGCTGCTTATTTTTTTGTTGTTGTTTTTGTGGTGGGTTTAGGGTTTATGGTTTCGGGTTTCGGGTTTCGAAGCTCCGAGATCCCACGAATCCCCTGAAACTCCTGAGCCCGTTTAGGGTTTAGGGTTTAGGATTTAGGGTTTGGGGTTTAGGGTTTCTGTATGAACCCTATGAGCCCCAAAGCCCTATGAGCCCTAAGCCATCAACCTGCATGCCTTCATGTTTTGAAGCGCGTGCAAACAGGCCCCCCCCCCCCCCCCCGGGTTGCTCTTCTGGGTCCCTTTATCTGTTGGTTTAGGGTTTTAGGATTTTGGGTTCGGGTTTCGGAATTTCAGGGTTTTAGGGTTTTAGGTTTTCGGTGTTTAGGGATTTTTGCCTGGTTTTGAGTCACACTCTCATCTTCTTCTGTCGTAGGGGGCCCGGGCCGTACATCTCTGGACCCAGAAGAACCCCTGAAATAGGGCTTACGCCCTAAGGCCCGAAACCCTGTAAGCCATAAGCTCAAACAAGCCCCAAACCCTAAACCCCCAAATCCTAGAAACCCAAAACCCAAAGCCCCAAAAACTCTACACCCAAACACAGCCCTAAACCCTTTCAAACTCTGAACATGTCATATCAAGATCCGACCTACGGGGTTCAAATCCTGACTCTTCCATCCTCCACTTGGAGGTTCATGGTACTTGCTAACCAAGTATAACTGTACTTATAACCCACTTAAAAGCCCCTTGAGTGCCCTAAGATGGTGACAAGTACAGATATAAGTACAGTTATGATAGGTTAATAAGTACAGATATAAGTACAGTTATAACAGGTTAATAAGTACAGATATAAGTACAGCTATGACAGGTTAATAAGTACCATGAACCTCCAAGCGTCGGGGTTTTAGAGGGCATGGTGGTATAGGGTTCAGGGTTCAGGGCATGGTGGTGCATGGATGCAGGCCTACTTGCAGGCTCATGGGTAGTGATGCGTAGGGTTATAAGTATGCGAACTATACTTATGACCCTATTTTAGGGTTCTGAAAAGTCTAAAATCCCTAAGCCCTGAACCCTTAAGCTACTTATAACTACCCATGAACCTCCAAGTAGGTTTGGGGCCTTGTCATGCGTCTCAGGCCTTAGGATTTGTGGTACGTTGCCCTAAATGCCGGCATCGATTCCCTAGACATCTAAACGGTTTTGGGTTTTTAGGGTATAGGGCTTATGGCTTAGGGTTTAAGGTTTAAACCGGAAACTCTGCATCCTGCATGCACCCGGTCACCCAGGACGGGGCCATCCCAC